GACTGTTGACTTGTAGCAGCCTCCCTTCAGGCTATGATAGTCTCCCATTGGACCACTTCTCATGATTTTAAATTTTCCAATACAAAAACCAGATTCATTACCTTCGCTAAACGCTCACTTATACTAGATACTCCCTTGTACTTATACGGTTCGCATATTTCGGCATGTGATATGGTCAGGTTTCTGGGCCTGCTCTTTGATTGCCGGCTGATGTGGAGACCTCACATTTCCTCGTTAAAGACAACTTGCCATGTTCAGCTAAATCTTAACGTTCTTGCACATCGTTCATGGGGAGCAGATCGTTGCACTCTCCTCCGTTTGCATCCCACCCTAGTCTTGTCCAAGCTAGATTATGGTGACCAAATCTATTTTGCAGCCTCTCCCGCAACTCTAAGTTAGATCCTATACATCACCAAGGTTTCCGTCTGTGCCTTGGTACCTTTCGCTCATCCCCTGTTGAGAGCCTCTATGCAGAAGCGAATTTTCTATCCTTGTCTGATTGCCGTGATGCTCATTGCCTTCGCTATTATGTTTGATCTCATGACCTCTACAATCCTTCCGTATATAGAGTAATCACAGATGTTAGTAGACGTTCTTTATTTGTTCATCACCCATTTACTCCGTCCCTTTTCTCTCCACCTACATTCGCTCGTCTCATCTTCAATTACCACCTCTCTATGTTCATGTAATGTCTCACTTTTCCCTGCCCCCTTGGGAAGTTCCAGTTGTTTGTGTCTGTTTTCCCACTGCCATGCATGATAGCCCAACTACCTATGGTGGATTCCCGCTTTCTTTTTCTTGACCACTTCCACTCTCATTCTCATGCCATCACGGTGTACACTGATGGTTCTAAGTCTTCTGATGGCGTCGGATTCACAAGTGTGTTTCCGGACAGTGTCGTGCGAGGGCATTTATTACCCTTGGCGAGCATTTTTATGGCTGAATTGTATGCCATTCTTGTAGCACTTATCTGTATTGCCTGTGTCACCATTTGTGATCGTTTCGGACTCCCTTATTGCTTTACAGGCTATACAGAAATTAGATACATCTCACCCCCTAGTTCTTTGTATCAAACTTTGGTTAGGCTGTATCTCCAGCGAACGCAGAGATAGTTTTTTTTGTGGGGTCCCTGGTCATGTTGACGTAAAGGGCATTGAACAGGCAGACACTGCTGCGTGGTCAGCCGTACACGACCTCCCAGTTTCATATAGAGGTGTTCCATTCACGGACTATTTTGCTGTAATTGCTACCCATCTTCGCACCCGTTGGCAACAATGTTGGTCTGATCTGCTCCATAACAAACTTCATTCTATTAACCCTTTCAGGGTCCGTCCCGTAGATCTTACGGCTTTACGTTCTGGGTCCAAACTGTAGATCTACATCATGAGCTCAGCTCACTCTGATAAACTGTGAGTGGTACATTTGGGCCTAGATATGAGAGAATACATCTATGTGGTATGTGTGCACCACATAAAACAAATCCTGCACTGTGTATAATGAGAGAAAAAAAACTGAAATAATGATTTTTCGATTAAAACAGCGACTTTGCAGTGTTTTATCGTATGTTTTTTATAGTTGTATTTGCGATTTCTTGGTCTCATTTGATAGAATGGAAGACATATTACAGAAATAGAGATGATTTTGATTAGTTTTAGCACTGGAAATGGCTTGAAACTGAGCTCGAAGTAGCAGAAATGTTAAATTTTTGCCGATATTCAAGAGGAAACAAATGACCTCACACGTCTAATACACGCCAGCTGGTGGGTCTAATATGCATTCACAAATATGGTGATGATATTTATACAATTATTACAGTATTGCATAACAGTAAATCTTCTATTTTTTGGTGTGAATAAAAATTCATTATGTGAATAAAAAATCAAAATGGAATTTATTTGTAAAGCCTCAAAACGTAACTAATGAACAGAGGAAATGTTAGTTTAGTTCCAGGAATACCTACATTGTTTATTCTGGACCCTATTTTGAAATTGGAATATTTTGAACTTTGTATTAAATTGGCAAAATTAACAATTTCCGATCACTTTAATTTGTAGTTGAAACAGTTGACTTTGCGGTTTCTTGTGCTCAATCGATAGAATAGAAGTAATACTAGTGAAATAGCTAAGAATTTGATTGACTGGAATAATGTAATTGGCCAAAAATGGCAGTCAAATTCGGCAAAATCGCCGATTCGTAAATATCGCTGACACATCAAAATTTGTGAGAGCATAATTTCATCAATTTTCCATCGAATTTCGTACTTTTTGTTTTATTACCTTCACAAAAAGATTCTCTACTATTTCATAAGAAAAAATAAATTTTTTTTTTGAAAATTCTTGGACACTGGGGCACCACTTCAGATTTGGGCCTTGGACCCTGAAGGGGTTAAACCGAGTATAGGTTTCTGGCTGTCTTCTTGTCATCAGTGTCAAGGTTGGGAGACTACTCTCTCCCGTCTTCACATTGGCCACACTCGTCTTACAGGCATCTCATGGAGAGGCGTCCTTTTCCTCTCTTTGAGAAGTGTCAAGTTTCAGTACCTGTTAGCCACATTCTGTTGGACTGCCCACTATCAACGAGCACGCAGAATTTACCTCCAATGTTGTCTCTGCTCTGCTGCCTTTTCTTTACCTTCCCTTCTTGCTGACAGACCCTCCTTTAATCCACTCTCTGACTTTTTGACAGCAACCGATTTACTACACTCTGATGATAATGTGTCTAGCACTCTCCTCAGTCCTTTCTACCTTAATCTCTAGCTACCCTCTACCCCTGCACTATTCACTGCACTTCAAAACCTAATAATCATCCCTCTCCCTCTTGCTACCCATTACCCCTGCATCCTTCCTGGCCCTGCTGTGCTGTATAACCCTTGTGGTTTAGCACTTCTTTTTTATTTTAATAATAATAATATTCATGAAATCTCAAGTGAATGTTTTATCAAGGTGTACATGTGAAGCTGGCAGGATTCTACCTGTCTAAATAATTATTATTATAAACAAAAAGAAGTGCTAAACCTACAAGGGTCATACAGCATATTTAAACACTATAATCAAATTGTGCCACACCCGAGAGGGAACTGTATCTACAGACTTACCAAACATGGCCCCGTAAACTGACTGCTGCTGCTCAGTATTTGCTTTACGCTTGTATTCACTAACTAAACTCCTGTTATCTGCCTATAGTATACTGTGCCACCACCTAGTAATTACAGTGGACCCCCGCATAGCGAACTTAATCCGTGCAAGAGGGCTGGTCGTTATGCGAAATGTTCGCTATGCGAATTAATTTTCCCCACAAGAAATAATGGAAATAAAATTAATCCGTGCAAGACACCCAAAAGTATGAAAAAAATTTTTTTTTACCACTAAAAAATGTTAATTTTAGTACACACAAACTGAAAAAGGCATGCACAATTACATGACACTTACTTTTATTGAAGATCTGGTGATGATTGATGGGATGGGAGGAGGGGAGAGAGAGTGTTAGTGTTTAGAAGGGGAATCCCCTTCCATTAGGACTTGAGGTAGCAAGTCCTTTTCCGGGGTTACTTCCCTTCTTCTTTTAATGCCACTAGGACCACTTCAGAGTCACTGGACCTCTGTCGCACAACAAATCTGTCCATAGAGCTCTGTACCTCCCGTTCCTTTACGATTTGTCTAAAATGGGCCATAACATTGTCATTGAAATAGTCACCAGCACGGCTTGCAACAGCTGTGTCAGGGTGATTTTCATCCATAAAGGTTTGCAGTTAAAACCCACTGTGCACACATTTCCTTAATTTTTGAAGTAGGCACAATGGATTCCACAACTGGCATAGGCTTCTCAGGGTTAGCCCCAAACCCTTCAAAATCTTTTCTTAATTTCCATACTAATTCTCACCCTTTTTACCACAGGGTTGGCACTAGAAGCTTTCTTGGGCCCATGGTCCCCTTATTTTTCCCGAAACAGCACCGAAAACACTGTAATAATACGAAATATTCCGAGTGTATGCTTGAATGTTACCGCGGAGGCTGGCTGGTAAACAATGGGACGGGCGGCACATGTGAGGCTGGCTGAGGCTGCACATTGGACGCGTCTCGGACGAAGGTCGCTGAGCGGGTTTTTGTCCACTATGCGGGGCAAAATTTTGGCGAACAAAGCGTTCGCTATGCGGATTGTTCGCTATGCAAGGCGTTCGCTATGCGGGGGTCCACTGTACTTAAATGCCTGAAGCACAGGCAAAATATTCTTAGTTTTGATAATACTAAAGCAACAATTTGAAACTAAGTGCTAAACCCACAAGGGTCATACAGCTCTGCAAGGTTGCTTGTGTATCAACTGCCATCAAGGAATCTCCCTCGAGTTTTTTTTTTTTATTAAATGCGCTGTCAAGAAAACTGCTTTAATTTTTTTTCTCCACAAGGTGCTGATTTGCTTAATTAAAAGAAATATTTGTATCAATGTACTATAAAAATCCAGTTTAGAAAATTAATGTATCTAGCGTTATGCTATACTTAATTTGGACAATTAAAGTGTGCCTTTAACAAAGTTCAAAGTAATCATAATCATGATAAAATATACACATATGAAGGATATATAAAAAATTTATTAAAAGAAAAGTAAAAATGCAGATTACAGTAAATAACCTGAAATTTCCTATTTATAATGTTCTGAATGCATGTGTATGCTATCACAAGAACAGAACCCAAAATCATTTTTACTGCCTTTCATATAAGATGTTCGGGTCATACAAACTCCATTCCAAAACATTTCCTGAGCACAGAACTTTTAAATGCAATTTTGCTTACACTAAGGCACATGCTTTGCTATCACAACCATGAAACTTCAATTTTTTGCAAAAGACAGTTCCTAGAAAATATCTGAATTTAATAATTATAACTACATTACTAACATGATGGAAATTTGGTATACAATTTTTTTTTTAAAATATTAACATAAAATCCACCCTGTGTTTAATATGGCTAAAGAAAAAATTTTGCTTATGACAGTATTTCCCCCCCCCCCCCTTTTTTGAAGGCAAGATTTGCCAATGGTCAAATTCACTTGTTTGAATTTCTAAAATTAAACACAGGCACAGTACATGTGCAACCCTAAAAAAGAAAAGCTAGAGTATTATCAAATAATGGCCACCATTTGCAACAGTTGCTTATAATAGCTTTAACATTGTATTTGTGGAGTGTGTTGAGACCAGAACCAAAATGCTTTCAAGCTAGCTACTGATGTGTTGTCCAACAGCCTTTCCTCCTTAATGCATAAATTTACATTGCTTATGGCTGCAAAGCAAGAGTTGCTTATATTATCAGATATAAACATGTTCCTGTCATGACTGTTAACATGAAAGGAGGAAAACTAATCATTATGAAAATACACTCTAGAGTAAATAAGTTTTTCATTAAAAAAAAAAAATTACAGGAAAGTAATATTGTTGTTGATGTTTCAGTCTAATTATCTATACCCATATTAAACACTACACTAAACCGATTAAAATTTTTTAGAGATGTCCAAACTAATACAATCTGAAGATGTCTTTACACACACTGCTTATTATTATGCATTATGAATTTTATAAACCTTGGATATTGAAAAAAATATAAAAATTAATAATACACTTTCAACAAAACTATATCAAAAGAATCTGAATAAACAAAATATACATGAAAAGAAAATATCTACTACCTTTGGCACATATTTACTGCTTCATTTTCAGCAAGTAAACCACACATACAGTGGTACCCCGAGTTTCGTACAGTTCCCAACTCTAACAATTATGTAATTGTATTATTGTAAGTGCTTTTTTACATGCATTTTTGAGAGTCTGAAATGGACTAATCTAATTTATGTTATTCCTTATGGGAACAAATTTGTTTGGTAACAGCACTTGAACACCTTTTGGAATGAATTATGGCCAAAACTCTGGGTACCACACTGTATTAGATTAACAACTATACACATTAATTTTATATGTAATGACTATTTCTTGAGGGTTAATTCCACTCCAGTACTGTTACAGACCTACAAGTGAATGTACACAGTATTTTTGACTGTGGCCATCTCCCACCAAGGTAGGGCTACCAAAAAAAAAAAAAAAAAAAAAAAAAAAAACCACATTCACCAGTATTCATTCAGTTGCTGTCTTACAATGAGTGTGTGTAATAAATTTACACACACACAAAAGTAGCATATCATTATCCTCACTAAACTGTTCCAAGGTGGTGCAAGTATATAGTGAAGATGCTGGCTGCAATGGCAAACCAACACTAGTTAGACAACTTGTACCACACCACAAAACTTTGCAAGTCTTAAAGTTTCCTTATTTATGTAGCACATAAAAGCACCACAATATATTCTGAATAAATAACACTTGATGTTTTAGGATTTCAACATTTACTAAATGCAAACTTTTGTCACAATTCAAGTTTAGTATTTGATATTATTAGCCACTAGTCTTATTCCAACTCCCCCCTCCCCCTTATACTGGATTTTATTAGTACTACAGAACACCCTTGGTCATCTTACTTCTCAATGATATTTCAAGAACTTCAGTAATTTCTTTTGTAAACACTGCCATGCCAATGTCTGTCTTTGTAGGAATCTTTTCATTATCTAGACTTTCATTTTTACAAGAATTTGCAAGAGTCCAAACTCCATCTGGATTTGACTGATGACTTTCACTTCTACTGAAACCATCATCTTCTGATAGAGATACAGATTTCTGTTGAAACACTTCATAAGGCATTTCTATAGAATTTTCAGATTTACAGTAACTTCTATTATTTTTTGTGGCATTAACAGAACCTTCACTACTGTTTTGTCTATCTAGAGTAACACTCTTGGCAATATCACCAGTTAGTACTTTACTTTTCTTGGATGTAAAATATGAATTTTTATTAACATCAAGAGATGCTGATTTTCTTTTCTTGCATTCTTCAAGATTGACAGAAATAGAGAGCTCAGATTCCTTCAATATGCTTTTCTCTTTGGTGCAATCCTCAGCTTGTTTTTGGGCACATTCTCCTGTACTATCACCCCTCTTACCTTCTTTTAGTGTTGAGATACTTTTTGACCTAGCTCTTCTCTCTCTGCAATACTCAGTGAAAGCAGACATTTTGGATCGTAGGAAATTCATTTCTTGATCTGTGTTTTTTAACACATATTCCTAAAAGTAAAAATTGTAAATAAAAATGGAACAGATAATAGTAAAATATATATATTTTTTAACACATCAGCCGTTTCCTACTGAGGCAGGGTTACCCAAAAAAAAAGAATTTCATCATCATTCGACACTTTCACCATCAATCATACATAATCAGTCTTTGCAGAGACGCTCAGATACGACAGCATAGACGTCCCTCCAAACTGCTAATATCCCAAACCCCTCTTTTAAAGTGCAGGCATTGTACAGTGGTCCCTCGTTGTTCGTAATTAATCCGTTCCTGGAGCCGTTACTATAAACGAAATTTATGATTTGCGAATCAATTTTCCCCATAAGAAATAATGTAAATACAATTAATCCGTTCCTGACACCCAGAAGTATTAACCCTTTCAGGGTCCGTCCCGTAGATCTACGGCTTTACGTTCAGGGTCCAAACCGTAGATCTACGCCATGAGCTCAGCTCACTCTGATAAACTGTGAGTGGTACATTTGGGCCTAGATATGAGAGAATACATCTATGTGGTATGTGTGCACCACATAAAACAGATCCTGCAGCACACTGTGTATAATGAGAGAAAAAAACTTAAATCATGATTTTTCGATTAAAACAGCAACTTTGCAGTGTTTTTTCGTATGTTTTTTATAGTTGTATTTGCGATTTCTTGGTCTCATTTGATAGAATGGAAGACATATTACAGAAATAGAGATGATTTTGATTGGTTTTAGCACTGGAAATGGCTTGAAACTGAGCTCAAAGTAGCGGAAATGTTAAATTTTTGCCGATATTCAAGAGTAAACAAACGACCTCACACGTCTAATACACGCCAGCTGGTGGGTCTAATATACATTCACAAATATGGTGATGATATTTATACAGTTATTACAATATTGCATAACAGTAAATCTTCTATTTTTTGGTGTGAATAAAAATTCATTATGTGAATAAAAAATCAAAATGGAATTTATTTGTAAAGCCTCAAAACATAACTAATGAACAGAGGAAACGTTAGTTTAGTGCCAGGAATGCCTACATTGTTTATTCTGGACCCTATTTTGAAATTGGAATATTTTGAACTTTGTGTTAAATTGGCCAAATTAACAATTTCCGATCACTTTATTTTGTAGTTGAAACAGTTGACTTGGCGATTTCTTGTGCTCAATCGATAGAATAGAAGTAATACTAGTGAAATAGCTAAGAATTTGGTTGATTGGAATAATGTAATTGGCCTAAAATGGGAGTCAAAGTCGGCAAAATCGCCGATTCGTAAATATCGCTGACACATCAAAATTCGCGAGAGCATAATTTCGTCAATTTTCCACCAAATTTCGTACTTTTTGTTTTATTACCTTCACAAAAAGATTCTCTACGATTTCATAAGAAAAAATAACAATTTTTTTTTGTTAAATTCTTGGACACTGGTGCATGACTCCAGATTTGGGCCTTGGACCCTGAAAGGGTTAAAGCAAAATTTTTTTTAACATGAAATATACATGTAGTACATTAACAATACAATGGGAAATGATGAATGAAACATTAACAGCATAACACTTACCTTTATTGGAGATTCTTCTTAGTGTATGGGAGACTGGAGGAGGAGAGAGAGTGGATTGTTTATAGTTTGGAAGGGGAATCCCCTTCCATCAACACCTCAGGTACCATTTGCTTTTCTGGGGTTGCTTCTCTTCTGTTTCTTAATGCCACTATGACCACCTTGAGAGTCACTGGAGTCCTGTCTCACAAAATAACTGTGGAGAGAGCTCTGTTTCTGGTGTCTCTTTAACACTTCCTTAAAATGGCCCAAGACTTTGTCACTGTACATGTTGCCAACCTGGCTTGCAACAACCTTGTTAGGGTGATGTTTCTCCATAAAGCTTTCCATCTTACCCCACATAGTAAAAATCTCTTTAATTTCTGAAGAAGGCACCTTCTTCCATCTCTCTTCCTCCTCCTCTGCAGCAAGATTCTGAGCTGCGATGTGTTGCTCTTCCTGCTGAAGCTCTTGCAGCTCCTCAGTGGTGAGCTCTTCATTGTGGTCTTCCACATCCTCCAAACTCACATCCAACCCCATGGAACTCCCCAGTGCCACAATTGATTTTTACAACAGACATAGGCTCATTAGGGTCAGTCCCAAATCCTTCAAAATCCCTCTTGTCGACACAATCTGGCCACAATTTTCTCCAGGCAGAGTTCAAAGTCCTGGTAGTCACTCCCTCCCAAGCCATACCTATAAGGGTTATGCAGTGGAGGATGCTGAAGTGTTCTCTCCAAAATTCCCTTAGGGTCAAGTGAGTGTCTGTGGTCACAGTCAAGCACCTATGAAACATTGCTTTTGTGTAGAGTTTTTTAAAGTTTGCAATAACCTGCTGGTCCATGGGTTGGAGGAGAGGAGTGGTATTCGGGGGCAAGAACTTTACTGTGATGAACCCAAACTCCTCGAAAATTAGGTCATCCAAGTTTGGAGGATGAGCAGGCGCATTGTCCATTACTAGCACGCACTTGAGATCCAATTTCTTTTCCAGGAGATACTCCTTCACACTAGGGCCAAAAACTTCATTGAACCACTCGACGAAAATTTCCCTCGTGACCCATGCCTTACTATTAGATTTCCAAAACACACACAATTTACTCTTCATAACATTGTTTTTCCTGAACACTCTGGGATTTTCAGAATGGTACACTAGTAATGGCTTCACTTTGAAATCCCCACTAGCATTAGCGCAGAACATTAGCGTCAGCCTGTCTTTCATAGGCTTATGTCCTGGCATTGCCTTTTCCTCTTGTGTAATGAAGGTCCTCTTTGGCATTTTCTTCCAAAAGAGGCCTGTTTCGTCACTGTTTATGTACTCCTGGAATTCGTGCACATATTTTTCAGCCGCCTTGTGGTCCGAACTGGCAGCCTCACCATGCCTTACCACACTGTGTATGCCAGTACGGTTCTTAAATCTCTCAAACCAGCCTTTGCTGGCCTTAAATTCACTCACTTCACCACTATTTGCAGGCAATTTCTTTACCAAATCTTCATGCAACTGCCTAGCCTTTTCACAAATAAACGAAGTCATAAGAGTATCTCCTGCTAATTGTTTCTCATTTATCCATACCAATAATAACTTCTCAACCTCTTCCAGTCTGGTGATCTCATTTTTGTCAGTATAGTTACTCCCTTTGCAACAACAGCATCCTTTATTTCATTTTTCTTTGCCACTATGGAACATAAGGTTGTGTAGGGTTTCTTATACATCCTGGACAGTTCGGCCACACTTGTACCACTTTCATATTGTTCAATGATGGTTTTCTTAAATTCAATCGTAGTTCTCACCTTCTTTACCACAGGCTTGGCACTAGGAGCTTTCTTTGGAGCCATGGTAGCTTATTTAGTATTTGGAAGCACTAAAATAAATGGATTATGAAATATTTCACTGGAGCACGCGAGGGGACCTTTGCTCACTGGTAAACAATGCCAGACTGGCTGCCGCCCTGGCTCACGCCGTGCGTACGCATCCCGGACGAACTACGACTCGCGAGTCAACCTATGAAAAGCGAGTCCATGTTTATACGAAAATACCCCTATGATTGGCGAATTTTACGATTGCCGGGAACTACGAAAAGCGGGGGACCACTGTACCTCCCATTTCCAGGACTCAAGTCCGGCTAACCAGTTTCCCTGAATCCCTTCACAAAATATTACCCTGCTCACACTCCAACAGCTTGTCAGGTCCCAAAAACCATTCATCTCCATCGAGTCCTATCTAACACGCTCATGCACGCTTGCTGAAAGTCAAAGCTTCTCGCCCACAAAACCTCTTTTACCCCTTCCCTCCAACCTTTTCAAGGATGACCCCTACCCTGCCTTCCTTTCCCTGCAGATTTATACACTCTCCAAGTCATTCTACTTTGTTCCATTCTCTTTAAATGACCAAACCACCTCAACAGCCCCTCGACTAATATACTTTTAGTAATTTCACACCTCCTAATTTCCACACTAAGAATTATCTGCATTGCTCTTAGACACGACATCTCCACTGCCTCCAGCTGCCTCCTTGCTGCAGCATTTATAACCACACTTCACACCCATATAAGAGTGCTTGATACCACTATACTCTCATACATTCCCTTCTTTGCCTCCATGGATAGCGTTCTTTGTCTCCACAGATACTCAATGCACCATTCACCTTTTTTTCTTCATCAATTCTATGGTTAACCTCATCCTTCATAAACCCATCTGCTAACAAGTCAACTCCCAAATATCTGAAAACATTCACTTCTTCCATACTCCTTCCCTCCAATGTGATATCCAATTTTCCTTTATCTAAATCATTTGATACCCTCATCACCTTATTCTTATCTATATTCACCTTCAACTTTCTACCTTTACACACCCTCCCAAACTCATCCATTACCCTTTGCAACTTTTCTTACAATCCCCCAAAAGCACAGTATCATCAGCAAAAAGTAACTGTCAACTCCCATTTTTGTATTTGATTCCCCATAATTTAATCCCACCCCTCTCCCCAACACCCTAGCATTTACTTCTTTTACAACTCCATCTATAAATATGTTAAACAACCATGGTGACATCATACATTCCTGTTTAAGACCTACTTTTACTAGGAAATAATTTCCCTCTCTCCTACACACCCTAACCTGAGGCTTACTATCTTCATAAAGCTCTTTACAGCATTTAGTAACCTACTACCTATTCCATACACTTGTAATATCTGCCACATTGCTCCCCTATCCACTATCATATGCCTTTTCTAAATCCATAAATGCAATGAAAACTTCCCTACCTTTATCTAAATACTGTTCACATATTGTATATGCTTCAATGTAAACACCTGATCTATGCATCCCCTTCCCATTTTAAAGCCTCTTTACTCATCTGCAATCCTGCTCTCTGTCTTACCTCTAATTCTTTTAATAATAACCCTGCCATACACTTGACCTGGTATACTCAGTAAACTTCCCCTATAATTTTTACAATCTCTTGTCCCCCTTCCCTTTATATAAAGGAATTATACATACTCTGCCAATCCTAGATACCTTCCCCTCTTTCATACATTTATTAAACAAATATACCAACCACTCCAACACTATCTCCCCTTGCTTTTAACATTTCTATCATGATACTGTCAGTTCCAGCTGCTTTACCTCGTTTCATTCACCGTAATGCCTCTTGCACCTCCCCCACACTCACATCCTGCTCTTCTTTACTCCTAATAGATGTTATACCTCCCTGGCCAGTGCATGAAATTACTTCCTCCCTTCGACATTTAAAAGTTCCTCAAAATATTCCCGCCATCTACCCAATACCTCCAGCTCCCCAACTACTAACTCCCCTATTCTGTTTTTATGAGATAAATATATAAATGAAGCTCAGTCACTCGTTAAAAAAATTATTTTCCAAAATGTCTCGCATGAACACAATATACAAATAAAGAATAACAAACCTTATATTTTTGGACATGACGAGCTGACTGAGGATGAAGGACAGCATCATCCGTGTTCCAAAAGATGCTATCACACAGCTCACAAAAGAAAACTTTGGTTGAGTGAAGAAACTCGACCCCTAGTGAAATGTACAAACGCAAAAGGTTTAAACTGTAATTCTTTAGTAAAATTGCAAATATTACCCATGAATCATAATCAATGAACTCACTTTAAACAGATAGGTAAAAATGAAGTGTATGCATATTATTTTCATTATAGAGAAGAGCTAAACCCACAATGGTCATACAGTGCTTGGGGAATGGGAGGCAGTCAGGTTTTATCCAAGGAAGGAAGAACAGGTCCAATTCCTTGGATGAAGAGCCTCCTCACCAGCATCAAGGTTCTCTCCTAGAGAGGAATGCATTATACTATATCTGTATAATCTTCACACACGCTGTCTCCACCGAGGTAGGGTGACCCAAAAAAAGAGGCAACACATTCACAGTCATTCACTCAATCCTCTTTCCAGAAGTGCACTGACATCACAGTTCAGATGACTCTGAGCTATAACATCCTCACTATAGAATTCAAGCACTGTACTTTTCCCCACCAGGAGTCAAGTTTGGTTAGCCAGTTTTCTTGAATCCTTTCATAAATGTTACAGTGCTCACACTCCAACCTGTCATTGTGAAAAACACTCCAATCTAATACTCACACGAGTCTGTGGAATATTCACGCCCCCCTAACACTCAAAACTTCCTTTGCCCTGTCCATCCAACTCTTCCTGAGATGGCCCCCTTCCCCTCCTTCCTTCCATCTTGTAATTTTACTATGGTACATTCCCCCCTCCTTGTTTTTTTTTGCTTCAATGGATAAGGTTCTTGGTCTCTACAGATGCCTCAATGCACCACTCACCTTAAATCTCTTGTCTATGCTATGGTTCACCCCATCTTTCATAAACCTATCTGCCAACAAGTCTGTTCCTAAATATCCGAATACATTTACTTCATTGGCCTGCTCTTTCCTATGTTCACTTTTAATTCCTTGTTTTACATACCCTTCCAAATTCATCTACCAGTCATGACCACTTGCCAAGAGCCAAAGTAGTAAGGAGTATCTCATCCTACATTCTTGCCTAAGGGAGTCTGCACCACTGTTACTAGGTTGCCACCAGAGAGCAAGAGCGAGAGCGAGAGCGACACACAGAGAGAGAGAGAGAGACAGAGAGAGAGAGACGAGAGACAGAGAGAGAGACAGAGAGAGAGAGAGAGACAGAGAGAGAGAGAGAGAGAGACACACAGAGAGAGAGACACAGAGAGAGAGAGACAGAGAGAGAGAGAGAGACAGAGAGAGAGAGAGACAGAGAGAGAGAGAGACACAGAGAGAGAGACACAGAGAGAGAGACAGAGAGAGAGAGAGAGAGATAGAGAGACACAGAGACAGAGAGAGAGACACAGAGACAGAGAGAGAGAGACAGAGAGAGAGACAGACATACATCAGGAGGACCAGTGTCGGAAGAAAAAGGAACTTGACAGACAGGACCACCTGTTCAGAGACCCGTTCTCAGAACAAACCAGCAGGATATCTGAATTGTTGAACACTCACGTGTCACCCACTCAGCTACTCCTATCCCAGCATAGCAGGTGGTATTGTGCCTTATACAAGACCACAGACCTACATCCCTGCAGCTGCCTCAGTACCCTACCTCTCTTAAGGGCAGGCACCTTACATGCCCTACACACCCAACACCTCAAGCTGACCACATCATGAGGAGCCAGTCTATCAGCATCCTGTCGGCCAACATTAGAGGTTTCATTACTAATGTTGGAGAGCTCACACATAGTTTTGTGAACACTCGACGTCCCGACATGATAGCCGTTGTTGAAACATTTTTAGATGACAGGACTCCAGAAAATTTTGCAAGAATTGCTGGCTACACCTCATGGATGAGAAGAGACAGGCAAGGACAAGGAGGAGGTGTTGCTGTGTGCTTCTCTAAAAGTGTTCATGCCTAGCACATTGATGTTGCCACCCCTACACATCTTGAAATGATGTTCTTCAAGCTATGCATAAACACTAGTACCTCTGTACTAGCATGTGCATTGTACAGACCTCAGTGGCAGCATGCAGACCCCATCAACTTCCTAATGGAAAATATTGACTCCCTTCTGCTACAACACAACTGTCAACATATCATAATTGTTGGTGACCTCACCCAACACCTTATACAGAGGGACTTTGATGACCTTCTTGCAGTATTTGACATGAGAAACTTTGTTGATTTCCCTACTCATCTCTGGCTCCTCCCTTGACCCAGTAGCGAGTGATCTGGCAGAAGGCATAGTCACTTGTCAACCCCTCGGCTATGTTGGATTGTCTGACCACAAGGCTGTTTTTACGACACTTAAGATCCCAACAGAACGAGGTGAGGAGTCCACACGCAGAACCTGGTTATGGGAAAGAGGTAATCGGCCAGCCCTTTGCTCTGACCTCGCCACCTCCGATTGGAATGCTCTTCTCCAAGGGGATGTTGACAACTAAGTGAAAGCCTTCACTGGACATATCCTTAATCTACAACAAGAACACATTCCTCACTGGCAATATGTGACAAAGCCTACAGATCAGCCTTGGTTTGGTTTTCGTTGTAGAGAGGCTGCTACTGCTAAGCACAAAGCATGGCGAAGGTATAAGAGACATCCTACCACCTAAAACAGGAACTTGCACAGGCAAGCCTGTAGGCATATGGGCGACGTTCAAAAGTGGGTCATTACTAAATGGGAGGTGGACACTAACATAAAGCTAGCATCAGGTAGGGTAGGCTCCAAAACCTGGTGGTCCCTGGTCAAGGACAGACAAGGTTATCTGCCTGATGAACTCATTCCACCTCTAAATCAACAGGATGGGACCACCTCTACTAGCAGTCAAGAGAAGGCGGACCTCTTTGCTGAACACTTTGCTACCAAAATGCAAGTTCCTGATCCAGCAAGGGACCCTCCTTGGCTAGCTGCAAGAACTGTGTCAAAACTGTCAGTGGTGACAATAAGGCAGGAGGAGGTGCATTTCCTTCTTAAATCGCTTGACCAAGAAAAGGCTGTGGGCCCAGACAAGTTGAGCCCAAGATTGCCGAGATGTGCAGACCAGCTAGCAGCACCTCTAACTCGCATCTTTCAGCACTGCCTAGCACAGTGTAAATGGCCCTCTCTATGGAAAGAGGCAAATGTAGTCCCTGTTCACAAAAAGAAGAGCAGAGCAGAAATCAGCAACTACAGACCAGTGTCACTCCTGTCAATCACTGGTAAGATCCTCGAGACAATAATCTCAAGACAAATGACAGAGTTTTTTGACTACCACTCGCTACTTTGTGATCGTCAATATGGCTTCAGGAAAGGTTACTCTGCTGCTGATCTGTTGTTAAAACCTCTCCACTAAGTGGCAACCAGTCACTGGATGAATCCAAAGTCAGCTGTGTGGTAGCACTGGACATAGCTGGCACTTTCGACCGGGTGTGGCACCAGGGCCTCTTAGCAAAACTTCAAGCACTGGGAATTGCAGGCTCTACATTATGTCTCCTCAGTGATTACCTTCATGGTAGATCTCTAAGTGTAGTTCTCAATGGAACGGAATCAGCAAGACATCCTATTGGGGCAAGTGTTCCACAAGGAAGCGTACTGGGACCATTGTTATGGAATGTCTACTTCAACGACCTTCTTCATCTCATCCCAGAATCACATGCATATGCAGATGACTGTACACTGACATTCGCTTATCCAAGAGAAGAAATGCCAACTGCTCTAAGCTACATCAATCACCAGCTGAGAGCTATATCAGCTTGGGGAAATAGATGGCAAGTAACATTTGCACCTGAGAAAACGCAAATGATGATCGTCTCTAGGCACCATGATGGAAATGCTGGTGCAGTAGTAAGGATGAATGGGAGGGTGTTGGCACCTGGAGGAGAAGTTGATATCCTTGGGGTGAAATTTGACTCCAAACTAACCATGAAGAACCATGTTCTAAATCTTGCAAACAAGGCAGCCAGGAAGCTTACAGCACTTCGCCGTATCTCGCATCTGCTTGACAGTAGGGGTTGCAAGATTCTGTACAAGGCACAAGTACGCTCACACCTTAAGTATGCTCCACTTTCTTGGTTTGCCTGCCCCCCCCCCCTCATCTGCGACTGCTTAACAGAGTAGAGAACAGAGCAAGACGTCTCATCTCTCGCCTGGACCCATCCTGGATAGATCTGTCATTTCAGCAGAGCCTTCAACATAGGAGGGATGTGGGTGGCCTTACTGTTATGTACAAGGCCAATACTGTCAAAGTACCACACTTGGATCCACTTTGAGGACAGTGTGAAACAAGCTTTTATGCCACAAGACTGGTAGAAAGCAGCAACTTCACACTGGCTGTACCCTTCTCCAGAACATCACTCCATCTGAGATCCTATATACCCAGGATGACTCGAGTATGGAACACATTCGTACAGCATAATGATGTCAACGAGAAAGTCAGTTGATCAAATGAAAATGCTGGCCCACAGATGGCTCCAACTTCATCCTGTTCCCTACTTGTATGTCTCATAACAATAAAAATGCTTTCAAATGAGCTGATGTAGGTAACAGCTCTTAGCTTGCCAATAAAGTTAGGAATCCTTAACCTGTAAATAGCTTGTCAATAAAGCTAGGGATCCTTAACCTTGTCAAACCCTGTGTAAAAAAGAGAGACAGACAGAGAGAGAGAGAGAGAGAGAGAGAGAGAGAGAGAGAGAGAGAGAGAGAGAGAGAGAGAGAGAGAGAGAGAGAGACAGACAGAGAGACAGACAGAGAGACAGACAGAGAGACAGAGAGACAGAGAAGACAGAACATGTATACAGAAGTCACTGAAATAGCACTAATGAGGTTGGAAATATGTAGCAAGGTAAATGTTACTTGTTGCAGTGTAATATTTGTATCATTCTGTTGCAAATATTATGAACTGTGTACCTACCTACTGTTTTCTGGTGACCTTCGTTGATTTCAGGCTTTTTCTTGCTTTCTTTTTGTGGAGTCTCTTGTTTACGTGGATTGATACTCCCATCCTACCCAGACAAATAACAGATGAATCAGAATCTACAGAGTGAAGTGCTTTCTAAAATAATCAACTGCAATTTATAAACTGGCAAACCAAGCAGCCACTGAGAAGTCCAAGATACAGAAAAACATATTTAATTTGCATAATTAAATACAAAAATTATGATTTTCTAATTATAAGATTCATGCTAAGATCATAAGTTTCTAGATTTCATCAGTTAATGATAGAATAAATTAATGATAAGTCATGGATAACTGAACAGCATACTCCATGATCAAGCTGAATCAAGAAAATATCACAACCTTGCATAATTTACAATTAAGACAAAGAATATGATGCAAATGATAATTACCATTAATTTAATGAAAATTATAATTACCTTTAATTTGCTCATGTGTGCCAATGATTCCAGGTGTTTTACAAAGCCATACACATTAGTGAAGAAAACATTGCATAATTTACACCAGTGTGTGCTGAGATCTTTTGACAAATCTGACATTTTCTCTTTGTTAACTGCATTGTCTTGACTTTTCTGGTGAGGATTTTTTTCAAATTTACAAACATCCCTGCTCATCTGTTTGTTACATTCAGTGTGGTTATTCTCTACACTACTCGTGTACAAAGTTTGTTTATACTGTTCCTTCTGAGATCTCTCTCTTTCACTTGAGCAACTTTTATTGGTCTCCCTCTTCATATGCTCAATTGGAGGAACTCTTACCATCTCAGCTTTATCATTCTGCTTAAATGCTGCTTTCTTTGGCTTATGTTTCTGAATGTTAAGATTTTCTTCATGTCCATTGAATATTCTGATTCTCTGTTCATCTGGAGATTTGACATTTTCTAATCCGACAAAAATGTTTTGCTCATTAGAAAGTTCCTTCCTTTTAACCTTCTCGCTTTTAAACATGCTCTTGTTGGTGTCACAATATTCTTGGTCATCCTGAACACTTTTTTCTGATGAAATTTCCCATTCTGCATTGGTGTCCCACTCCCTCAAAATAGTAGTCTTAATTTTATTTTCCAAGTCACTTATTTTCTGATTGGTAAATTTAATTTGTGCATTAACCTTGACAATGTATGAAGATATTTTTTTAGAAAGTTGGGAATATTCTTTTAAAATCTGAGAGAATTTAGCAGTGTCACCTGAGAAATTGCTCATAATAAGATCCCTTTTTGCACTGATGTCGTTCTTTTGCTTTATGAAGATCTTTACCTGGTTCACTAACTGTTTTTTCTGTGATAACAGTGCCTTTAATGTATATACTTCATCTCTACATTCGTCTCCTACACTCCTAAGGGTTTCATATAACTTTGCTGGGGACAAAGAATGGGAACCCATTACAGGCCAGCCTTCTTTGGATAAAGCATTAATATTCTGGCTCAGGCAATGGTTATTCAAGATTTTAGAAGTTGGTTTATTTGTATCCCTGCATTTCAGTTCTTGAAGTACTTTGTTTAATTCCTCCGAAATTGTAGATACGTATGTAGAGTTTTCAGTTTCTTTTGTATCACCAGCTGAATGAGAAACTGTTTCATCTAGAGTTTGAGTCTTTACATCAACATGCTCTCTACGATCAACAGAACTGTGTTGTAAAGTATGCGAGTTACTAGACAATCCCAAATAATTCTCTTCTTCTGAGTGGTTATTTACATTTAGATTATTAGATTCAACAGCAAGTGGGGGTTCTAGAGAGGTGACAGGAACAGCTTGAGCTTTAGAATTAGTGAAAACTTGTTGAACTTGCTTCTCCAACTGCATAACATCCTTATGAGATTTTAACTTTACAGTTTCATTTGGGGATTTCAAAATTACATTCTGTAAAACTTTTGCAGTTTCCTCAGTCTTTTCAGGTCTTTGCCTCTGAACAAGTCCTCCTGAATGACTGAAGGTTTCATTTGTACTTGTCACTTTCTGAGAATTTCTGAAAGTTAATAAAACTAATATTATCTTTTATCCTTACTGGGTATATAATATTTGCAGACTGCTATATTTTAGAGACAATTTATTATAATATTCAGAGGGATAGTTGTCATACAATGATTGGGAATAGGAAGTAATTATATTTAAGAATGGAGAAGTAAAGGAGAAACTCCAATTCCTTATGTCAAGAGCCCTTCATCAGTATCAAGGCACCTCCCTTGAAGGGGAGAGGCAACATAGGTATACATAAAGGCAGAGAATATTACGAAATGAACAGCTAAAGTAACAATTGAAAGGTTTTTCAGTCAAATTGCTATCCAACCTTCATAGGTGGGATCTTCTAAAAACTTTTGGATCGTTACAAACATTTATTACATTTTCATAGCTCAACGACGATAAAAAAAGAGACCGAGACTTTACCTTAGGTATGCCTGTGGTATGCTTTCTGTAAAAATGGAAGTTAGGTTACAGCTCATGGCCAGTGCAAGTTTCCCAATTTACAGAATGTGGCAGATTTGAAAGCATCCTATTAAGGTGGGATAAAGTCTCACACACAAACGCACAGAAGGGTATGGGGGAAGGCTAGCACATTTTCAGAGGCTCACATAAACTAAATAACCTCTGCAGCCAATGCTCGCCTGGGAAATCAGAGTGCCTTCAGGAATCTCAAAGTCATTCTGGATACTTTGGACAACATATGTCAGGCCCATCTTCACAGCACCAGTATGGAACTCTAACCTGAAAAAGCATGATAAGAAATGGGAGACAATGCAGAAGCATGCAATGAGGCTTGTTCCAGAATGGCAAGGAGAGGCTAAGTGAAATGAATCTACAACACTGGAAGGCAGAAGAACCAGAGGAGACATTGTAACATACAAAATACTCAGATGAATGGATAAGGTAGACAGGGATAGGCTGTTTGAAACATGAGAAACAGGTACTTGGGAATACAGCTGTAAATTAAAGATGGTTGAGAGGCAGAGCCAGGAGCTCAGACTTGATCCTTGCAGCCACACACAAGTGAATACACACAGGTGAGAACACGTGCCTGCGCACATGCAGTCACACACACAGCAGCGATCAGCAAAGAGGCAGGGCCAGGAGCTGTGACTTAACCTCTGCAACCACATATAAGAGAGCAGACACTTTTTTTAACAGGTTGGCTGTTTCCCACTGAGGCAAGGTGACCCAAAAAGAAAGAAAAAACTTTCATCATCATTTAACACCATCATCACTCATACATAATCACTGTCTTTGCAGAGGCACTCAGATATGACAGCTTAGATGTCCTTCCAAACTGCCAATATCCCAAACCCCTCCTTTAAAGTGCAGGCATTGTACTTCTCATTTCCAGGACTAAAGTCTGGTTAACCAGTTTCCCTGAATCCCTTCACAAAATATTACTCTGTTCACACTCCAACAGCTCGTCAGGTCCCCAAAACCATTCGTCTACGTTCACTCCTATCTAACACATTCAAGCATGCTTGTTAAAATTATACAATACGTATACTATGTACAGCCTCTCCTCACTTAACGATGGAGTTCTGTTCCTAAGACCACGATGGTAAACGAATTTGTCGTTAAGTAACAAGCATACCATAATGGCAGTGGGTTTGTGTCAACCATCTTTGATATTGTTTTAATGTCACCTCTGCACCATTTATAACATTTCTGGTATGTTTTTTAATGTTTATACAGTAGTGTAATGTATATTAAAAACCAGAATAGAGGAAATCAGCTCTAATATACATTATTTAGGTATGAATACTGGTCAGATAGCCTGTCGTAAGTCCGAGGCATTGGAAAACAAGTACATCGGTAAGTGAGGAGATGCTGTGTGTGTACGTGTGTGTGTGCATAATATAATATATATACAGTGGACCCTCAGCTACCAATGGCATCACCTAATGTTAAATCTGGCTAACGATACATTTTAACGTAAAAATTTTGCCTCAGCTAACGCTAAAAAACTCGCCCAATGCGATTCATTCAAGACGCATCCACGTGTGGCCTCAGCACCAGTGTTTACAAGCCAGCCAGTGCAGTCGCATCTACGCATACATTCGGTACATTTCACATTATCTCAGTGTTTTTAGTGCTTGTAACTACAAAATAAGTCACCACAGACCCCAAGAAAGCTTCTAGTACCATCCCTGTGGTAAAAAGGGTGAGAATTAGTATGGAATTGAAAAAAAAAAAAGGGGGGGGGGTTTTTTAACCCGGGGGGGGGGAAAAAAAGGCAAAAAAAAAAAAAAAAACCCCGGGGGAAAAAAAATTTTTTTTTTTTAAAAAAAAAATTTTTTTGGGGGGGGAAAAAAGGGTTTTTTTTTTAAAAAAAAAAAAACCCCCTTTTGGGGGGGTTTTTTTTTCCAAAAAAATTTTTTGGGGTTTTTGGGGAAAAAAAAAAAATTTTGGTTCCCTAAAGGGGGGGGGGGGTTTTTTTTTTTTTTAAAAAAAAAAAAATTTTTTAAAAAAAAAGGGGGAATTTTTTTTTTTTTTTAAAAGGGTTTGGGGAAAAGGGGAAAGGGAAAAGAAAAAGGTTTTTTTAAAAAAGGGTTTAAAGGTTTTTTTTTTTTGGGGGGGTTTTTTTTAAAAGGGGTTAAAAATTTTTTGGGGGAAAAATTTTTCCCCAAAAGGGGGGAAAATTTTTTAAAAAATTTTTAAAAAAAAGGGGGGTTTTGGGGGGGGGAAAAATTTTTTTCCCCCCCCCAAATGGGAAAAAAAAGGGGGGGGGTTTTTTTTTTGGGGGAATTTTTTTAAAATTTTTAAAAAAAGGGAAAAATTTTTTTTTAAAAAAAAAAATTTTTTTAAAAAAAAAAAAAAAAAGGGGAAAGGTTTTAAAAAAAAAGGCCCCCGGGGGGGGAAAGGGGGGGTTTTTTTTAAAAATTTAAAATTTTTTTTTTTTTGGGGGGGAAAACCAAAAATTAAAAAGGGGGGGTTTGGGGGTTTTTAAAAAAAAATTTTTTTTTGGGGGAAAAAAAAAATTTGGGAAATTGGTTTTTAAAAATTTTTTTTTGGGGGGGAAAAAAAAAACCCCAAAAAAGGGGGGGGCCCCCGGGGGGAAAAAAAATTTTTGGGGGGGTTTTTTAAAATTTAAAAAAGGGGGGGGGGGGAAAAAAAAAAAATTTGGGGGAAAAAAAAAACCCCCCAAGGGGGAAAGGGGGGGGGGGGGGGTTTTTTTTAAAAAAAAAGGCCCTTTTTTTGGGGGGGGGAAAACCTTTAAAAAAACCCAAACCCCCCCCCAAAAAAAAAATTTTTAAAAAAAGGGGTTTTTGGGTTTTTTTTTTAAAAAAAAAAAAAAAATTTTTTAAAAAAAGGGGGGGTTTTTGGGGGTTTTTTTTTTTTTTTGGGGGGAAATTTTTGGGGAAAAAACCCCCCCTTTTTTTGGGAAAATTTTTTTTTGGGGGAAAAACCCCATTTTGGGGGGGTTTTGGGGAAAGGGGTTTTGGGGGGTTTTTTTTTTTTTTTATTTATTTTTTTTTGGGGAACCCCGGAAAAATTTTTGGGGGAAAAGTTTTTAAAAAAGGGTTTTTTTTTTGGGGGATTTTTTTTTTGGGGTTTTTTTTTTAAAAAAGGGGTTAAAAAAAAAAAAAAAAACAAAAAAGGGAATTTCCCCCGGGGAAACCCCCTTTTTTTTGGGGGTTTTTTTGGTTTTTTTTGGGGTTTTTTGGGGTTTTTAATTTTTTAAAATTTTTTTTTGGGAAAATTTTTTTTGGGGAAAAAATTTTTTTTAAAAATTTTTTTTAAAAAAGGGGTTTTGTATTTTTTTTTGTTTTTTTATTTTTTTTTTTTTTTTTTTTTTTTTTTGGGGGGGGAAAAAAAAATTTTTTTTTTTTTTTTGGGGGGGGGGGGCCCCGAAAAAAAAACCCCCCCCCCCCCTTTTTAAAAAATTTTTCCTTTTTAAAAAAGGGGGGGGCCCCCCTTTTTCCTTAAAATTTTTTCCCCCCCAACCCCAAAAAAAAGGGGTTTCCCCCCCCCAAAAAAAGGCCCCCCCCCCCCCAAAAAAAAATTTTTCCCCCCCAACCTTTCCCCCCTCCCCCCCCCCAAAACCCCAAAATTTTATTTTCCCTCCCCTTTTTTTCCCCCAAACCCCCCCCCCTTCCCCCCCCCAAAAAAAATTTTTTCCCCCTTTCCCCTTTTTTCCCCCCGGCCCCCAAAAAAACCCCCCCCCTTTTTAAAAAATTTTTTTTCCCCCCCTTCCCCCTTTTAAAAAAAATTTTTTTTTTTTCCCCCTTTTCCCCCTTTTTCCCCCCGGAAAATTTTTCCCCGCCCCAACCCACCCACTCCCCCTTTTTTCCCCCCCAAATTATGTTCCCCCCCCCCCCCCCCCCCCCCTTTTTCCACTCCCAAATATCTAAAAAATTTCCCTCCTCCCCCCCCCCCTTTAATTTTTTTTCCCCTTTAAATTTTTTTTTTTCCCTTTTTTTCCTTTTTTTTTTTTTTTTTTTTCCCCCCCCCAAAAACCCCCCCCTTTTTCCCCCCCCAAACCCCAAAAACGGGGGGGCCCCCCCCCCCCTTTTTTTTTTTTTTTTTTTTTTCCCCCCCCCCCCAAAATTTTTTCCAAAATTTTTTTAAAAAAACCAAAAAAAAACCCCAAACCCTTTTTTTTTTAAAAAATTTTTTTTTTTTCCCCTTTTCCTTTTTTTTTTTTAAAAAAAAAAATTTTTTCCCCTTTTTTTAAACCTTTAACTTTAAAAATTTTTCCCCCCCTTCCCCCCCCCCTTTTTTTTAAAATCCAAAACCCCCCCTTTTTTTTTAAAATTTTTTAAAAAATTTTTTTTTAAAAAATTTCCCCCCCCTTTTTTCCCCCTTTTTTTTTCCCCCCTTTTTTCCTTTTTTTTTTTTAAAAAAAACCCCCTTTTTTTTTAAAACTCAGCAGTTTATCCCCTTTTTTTTTTCCCTCTTTTATCCCCCTTTTCCTTTATACAAAAGGGCTATGCATGCTCTCTGCCAATCCCCAGGTTACCTTACCCCCTTCCATACATTTATTTAAATAATTGCACCAAACCCCTCCTAAAATATATCCCAAACCCGTTTTAAAAATTTCTATCTTTTTTCACAATTCCCCGGTCCTTACCCCCCCTTTTCCCCTTTTTCCTTCTGCCCCAAAGAACTTCCCCCACACTCCCAAATGGCTCTTTCCCACTCCACAAAAATGTTATTCCTCCTTGTTTCCCATACACGAAAAACAACTTTCCTTTTTCATCAACATTTAACCCCAAATTCCCCCAAAATTTCCCCCCATCTTCCCCAAAACCTTAAAATCTCCCTTTTAAAAACTCTCCTCTCCTATTTTAACTGAAAAAATTTCCCTTTGTTTTTAGGCTTTCTTAAATTGTTTTCCTCACTCCAAAAAATTTTTATTTTCAACCCCAAAAATTTTTTGATTTTTTTTCACCCACTCCTCATTTGCTCTCTTTTCAATTGCTTCACCACTCTCTTAAAACCCCTTTTCTTTTTCTCCTTTTACTCTTTTCCCCCCTTGCATCACTTTACTTTTTAAAAACTTTTTTGCTAACTTTTTCTCCCTTTCTTCTCTTTTTTTACATCATCATTCCACCAAGCTGTCTTCCTCCGGGCCCCACTTTTTCCCGTAACCCCCAAACTTTGTGAACACTAACACTACATTTTTAAACCTAACCCCATACCCCTTCGGGCCCCATTGGGCCCATTTCTCTCATTAGAAAACTTCCCCCCAATAAAATGTTTATATCTTACCCCCAACTGCCCCCTCTTTTAGTTTATAAACCTTCCCCCTCTCTCTTCCCCGATGCTTTTTTTTTCCTTGTTCCCCCTTACCCCTTTTTTTCTCAGTGTAGCTAAAAACTAGAAAGTGATCTGATATATCTTTTGGCCCCTCTTTTAAACAGTAATCCTGAAGTCTACTCAACCGTCTTTTATTACCAAACCCTAATCCAACAAAAATACTGTCATTTCGCCCTACATATATTTTTGTTATAATTTTTATCCTTTTTTTTCTTTTAAAAAATTTTTATTACCTTTAACTAAACCCCTTTTATACAAAGTTCAATCAAAGGGGGCCCATTATAAATTTTCACCTGGGGACCCCAAAATTACCTTCCCCACCCTCTCTAAAAATTTCTTCTACTTTGCATTCAGGTCCCCCACCACAATTCTCTTCACTTGGTTCAAAAAGGGTCCTTTAAATTCACTTTAAAAATCTCCCTCTCTCTCTCTCCTCTCCATTTCCCCTCTTTTTCCGGGGCATACACGCTTAAAATGACCCACTTTTCGATCCAACCTTTACTTTAATCCCATAATTCTTGGGAAATTTTAAAATTAAATTCTTTTTCTCCTTCCAAAAAATGACATTTAAAAATTTTTTTGCTACCCTTTCCCTTTTCTTAACTCTCTCAGTTTCTTTCCCGATTTAATCCCATTTATTTCCCCCCCCTGAAAAATCCCCCCCACCCCCTTTTAGCTTTTTTTGCTTAGGGCCAGGACATCCAATTTTTTCATTCATAAAATCAGCAAACATTGTTTTTGTCTTTCCCCACTACATAAGGCTCATTTAAAAAAAAACCCCTGTTATTTATAAAGGTTTTTTATTCTTTCCCCCTTTTTTTAGAAAAAAAAGTCTAAGGGGAAAGGGGACTAACCCCTTCCCCCGGCTTTTTAGTTTTTCCCCCAACGGCCACCCAAAAAACCCAAAAGGAAAAACTTTTCCACTTCCCCTCAATAAAAATAAAAAAAACAAACTATTTTTTAAAAAATTTTAAAATTATTAAATTTAAATATTCTGGGGTTTCTTTGGAAAGGGAACCCAAATTTAATTTAATACCCAAAATATCCCCTTTAATTCTAGGTTTTTTTGAACAAGGGAAAATTAAAAGCTTTTCCCCCTTTATAAAAATTTTTTCAGGGTTTTTTTTTAAATCATTCGGGAAGTTTTTTTTGTTATTCCCTTTTTTGGGGGTTGTGTCTAACCCAATTACCTTTTAAAAATTATAAAGCCTATATTGGGAAAAAAGGTTAATTTTGATTAAATAAATTTTTTTTGCTTTAGGTTTGAAAAGGGATTTTGGTTTTGGTTTTAAAGGGCTGGTCCCCTTTCCCCAAATTTTGGAATGGGGGTAAATTCTAAATCTTTAAAATTTTTTATGGGTTTTGGGTCAGGTTTAGGGTTTTAAGGGAAGGGGGTTACTTTTCCCCCAAAAAGTTTTTTTTTAGCCCGGGGTGTTAACACCAGGTTTTAATTTTTTTATTTTAATTTTTGTAAAGGGGAAGTAAATCCCAGGGTTTTCAAAGGGTTGGTTAAATAAAAACAAACCCCAAAATGGGAAATTGACAACCCCCCGGTTTTCCCCTTTTTTTGGGGTTTGCTTTTGGGGAGATTCTGAAAAAGGCAAAAATTTATGGCCCTGGGTTTTAAAAATTTTTAAAGGGTTTTTGGGGGAAATTAAAAAGGTCCTTTAAAAAATTAAGGGGAAAAATATCAAAATTTTTAGGGGGAAAAGAAAAGATTTAATTGGGGGGGGGAAAATTAAAAAAAGTGAAAAGGTTTTAAACCTTGGGGATTGACGTTGGGGGAGGGTTTTATAAATTAGTAAATTCCTTTGAATTTTTAAATTGGGGGAAAAAGGTGATTTGGGGGGGGTTTTTTAGGGGAAATTTTTGTTTTTTAAAAAATTATTATAAAATTTACAAAGAAAAATGTTTGAAAGATAAATTTAAAAAATTTATTGGTTTGAAGCCCCTTGGGTTGGAAAAACCCACAAAGGGGAGGTTAGGCCCGTTGGGCCTGCCCCAAACCCCCAATGGTGTGGTGTTAAAATTTTTTTTTCAAATGAAAAAAATTAGGGAGTGTTTTTGGAAAAAAAGGGGAAAATGTTATTTAAAAAAAATTTTTTTTGTCAGAAAGGGCCCAAGGAAGAAAGGGGTTTTTTTTTTTTGAGGTTTTTTGGGGTTTTTTTCCCAGCCCAATTTTTTTAGGAAATTTTTATCCCTTTTTAAAAGCATTAAAAAACCCTATAAATTTAATAAGGAAAAAACCCCCCTCTTTTGAAAGGGTTTAAAATTTTTTTTTAAAAAGGTTTTGGGGTTTTTTTTGGGGCCTTTTGGGCTTTTTTTAAGGGATAATGTTTTTTTAAAGGAGTAATTTGGAAAAAGAATTTATTCCTTTGGGACCCCCGAAAAAATTTTTAAATGTTTTTGCAAATGATAAATTTAAAGGGAAAAACTTGGGGAAAAGGTTTTTTTTTCCTATATCGACCCCTTAAGTAAATGGAAATTTTGGGAAAAACCCCTTCCCTGCTAAAAATTTTAAAAGGGGGTTTGGGATAAAATGGCAGGTTTTTTGGAGGGTTTGAATCGATCCAACTCCAGTCCAACTTCTTCCAGGCCCTGACATAATTCCTCATCAAAGTCCTCCAATGGAGGAGAATTGTCCTTAACTCCAGCAGAATTAAAATGCCAGGGTGATGAATCCGATGACCTCTCAGACTGTGGAATGCTAGTTTTATGATGCTTTTTTCTTTTATGTATGGCACTTTGTTTTTTTAATACTGCATGCTCAGCTGTTTTATTCTGTAGTTTGAGCAAATAACCAAATTGAAATTAGTTAAAATTATATTATACAATTAAAGAAAATAAGCTGTGGTTATGAGCAATATATGCATGCAAGTATACATATTGCAGATATGCATTAGGAAGCTAATGGGTCAGTAGGCCTGTTGCAGTGTTCCTTCTTCGTTAATGCTTATAACAGTAATCTTATGCATTTTCACAAAGTTCCATTACTGACACCCTTGCCAAATAATTTTGTATAGTGTATTTATAAAATTTTAAAAGGTATTTTAATTATTCAACAAGATGTGTTTTTTCATTTTTATGAGGAAAATTATGTCCCCCCTGCAAGATCTTCCTACACAAATAACCTACACTTAGGAAAATATTGCTCTTACTTGAAAAGTTAACTAAAAATTCTTTTTAATGGCATTCTCTATTTGGAAAAGCTGAATTATGATTTTCAGGCCTAATTATTATTATAATCAAGGGGGAAGCGCTAAACCCGGAGGATTATACAGCGCCTGGGGGGTGGATGTGGAAGGCAATCAGGCTTAATTCAGGGAACTGGAGCACAGATCCAATTCCCTAAATCAAGAGCCCCTCACCAACATCAAGGAACCTTCCTTGAGGGGTTTCAGGCCTAAAATGTTGATTATCTTACTTGGAAAATTTTAAATCTCAAAAATCTTTCCAATAATTAAGAATTTGTTAGAATTCCTACTAGAAGTCATGCATTTGTGCAGCACAGTAGAAATGCATTCTCCTCTTCAAAAAGAGGCCTTAATTTCAAATCTTAGCATGAGAAGTTTCTATAGTTTTAATACTGTATGGGTCAGAAGCCTCCAATTCAAGACTATCCTCAAGTCTTCCTGTTTTATTTAACACAAAAGGGGTGTTCATGAATAGAAAATACCATACCTTCTGAGGTGGCAATTTTATGCCGGGCCAATCAATATGGAGGAGGGTGCATGTTAACTTTTTACATTTTATACTGTCTGGACAATAATAGCTGTGGATATATGGACAGACGTGTGGAAGTCTTCTGCATCTACCATTTATCCAGAACTTGCATGTTATATGCTTCTTCCCTGGTATTCCAAGGCTCATCTGAAATAATTAACAATATGAAGAATGTTTTACAAAGTCACAGGAACCTGACTTTCTTTTAGCCATATCTGGATATTTTATCATTTAGTTCCATTAATTATAACATTTAAAAAAAAAAAAAAAAAAAAAAAAAAAAAATTACAAATAGAATTAACAATTAAAAATAAAAGAGGGTTATTAGATGGGGAAGTGGAAGTATTGGAAAGATGGCAGGAATATTTTCAGTTGTTAACCCTTTCAGGGTCGGCAGGCCCTCCCCTAAACTTGTTCTCGGTCAGAAATTTTTCAAAGAAAAAAAAAAAAAAAAAAAAAAAATTCTTATGAAATGATAGAGAATCAATTCCCGATCATAATGACACCAAAAGTATGAAATTTGATGGAAAGCTTACGGAATTATGCTCTTGCGAAGTTAGCGCTCTTGACGATGTTTACGCATCTGCGATTTCGCCCACTTTGAGCCTTATTTTCAGCCAATTCCAATGTACCAGTCGTCAAAAATCATAACTATTTCACTAGAACTCCATTTTTTCTATCGAATGAGTACAAGAAACCACCCATTTACTGATTTCAACTATCCAAAAGTGGTCAAAAATTGGCAATTTTGCCAATTTAACACAAATTTCAGAAGATGCCAATTTCCAAATCGGGTCCAAAACAAAAGACAGACATTCCTGGCACTAAAATAACATTTCCTCTGTTTATCAGTCACGTTCCCAGGCCTCAGTTACATTTCTTTTGCTTTCCACTTTGAATTTTTATTCTCACAAAAAATAGAAGATTTACTGTTATGCACACTACTACATTAGTGTAGAAATGGTATAAATAATATCAGTGCACTTGTGAAAGAATATCAGACTCACCAGTTGATGTGTATTGTACACATGGCATGATTTGTTTACTTTTGAAATTGGGCAAAAATCAAACATTTCTGCTACTTTGAGCTCAATTTCAAGGTACTTTTCATTGCGAAACCAATCAAAATCATCTCAATTTCCGTAATATATCTTCCATTCTATAAAATGAGACCAGGAAAATTAGAATACAACCATAAATAGCATACGAAAATACACTGCAAAGTCACTGTTTTAAACCAAAAACACGGCCGGAGCTTTTTTTCTCTCATTATGCACTGTGTGCTGCAGGAATTTTTTTATACTGCGCATGCTGACCACATAGGCCCATTCTTTCATATGTAGGCCTACCAACTTTCTCTCACTAGATCTGAAGGCACTAGAATTTATGTGTAGTAGTACGGCACCAACCCCACAGACCGGGCCGCAGGGGCGTTGACCCCCGGAACTCTCTCCAGGTAAACCCTGGCATGCAAGCCGTACTAGTATGGCACCAACCCTGAAAAGGTTAAGTGTTGAAGAAAGGAAGGCAGTGATTTCATGTATATTGGACAGAGGCAAACCATCTCTTAGGAGTGAGGAAGAGCCAGAATCGAAGTGTGAGGAAGTGCGAGAGGCAGTGAGCAGAAAGAGGGGTAAAGCAGCTGGGATTAATGGGCTCAAGACAAAAATGTTAAAAGCAGGTAAAAATGTAGTTTTGGAGCAGCTGGCACATTTAATCAACAAATGTATAAAAGGGGACGAGGTACCTAGGGATTGGCAGTGTGTGTGTGTGTGTGTCTAGTTCCTCCCTACACAAGAAAGAGGTTAAAAGTGTAAGAATTATAGGGAAATATGTTTGAGTATACAGGTAAAATTTATGGTAGAATTATTACCGAGAGAATTAGGGGCAAGACAGAGCAGGATTGCAGATGAACAAGATTTTAGGAGGGATAGGGGATGTGTAGAATAAATGTTTACATTGAAGCACATAAGTGAACAATATTTAGATAAAGACAAGGAAGTTTTTATTGTATTAATGAATTTAGAAAAGGCATTTGATAGGGTGGATAGGGAAGCAATGTGGCAGATGTTGCAAGTGTATGGAATAGGTGGTAAATTACTTGAGGCAGTTTAATAGTGAGGAGGATTATGTAAAAGAAGAAAATTAAAAGAACATAGGAAAGAGCAAGGTGATAAGTATAACAAAATTTAGGCAATGAAAGACGAAGGTGGAAGTATGGAGGAAGTGAATGTGTTCAGATATTTAGGAGTGGACTTGTCAGCAGATGGGTCTATGAAAGACAAGGCGAACCGTAGAATTGATAAAGGGAAAAAAGTGGGTGGTGCATTGACACAACCGTGGGGACTGTCATTCACGAAAGCAAAAAGGGAAATGTACGAGAGTATAGCAGTACCAGAACTCTTATATGGATATGAAGCAAGGGTTGTGAATGTTGCAGTAAGGAGGCTGGAGGCAGTGGTGATATGTCTGAGGGCAATGTGTAGTGTGAATGCTATGCAGGGAATTCGTAGTTTGGAGATTTGTAGGTGTGGGGTTACTAAAAGTATTATTCAAAATGCTGTGGAGGGATTGTTGAAAAAAATCAACTATTTTTATATGCAGTCTGATTAGCAAAGTGTTTTTATATAAAATTTACCCATATGGATGCTAAGAATGCCTATTCTAGAGCAGTGCATTCCTGTGGGAAACCTTGGTCAAGTCTTAAATGTTAAGTCAAGATGTGCCACTGAGTACTAAACATACTAAAAAAAAGACCCACATCTGCTCTCTTTTTATGCTACTAACTGTAAGACCAATTACAATGTAATACAAAGAGGAAAATGTTCCTAACTAAAACCCCTCATGGAAGGTTCCTTGATGCTGGTGAGGGGCTCTTGATTTAGGGAATTGGATCTGTGCTCCAGTTCCCCGAATTAAGCCTGAATGCCTTCCGCATCTCCCCCAGGCACTGTATAATCCTACGGGTTTAGCGCTTCCCCTTGATTATAATAATAATAATCCTAACTAAAAGTAGAGCACAAACTAATTTCCTTAAATTTTGTGGATTGCTAGGTAGCAACATACAGATAAAGGACTTATTTCAATGGAGAGAAAAAATCAGAAATACATTACCAAAAAAAATGCAGCTTAGCCAAGCAATCAAGGGTGAATGATTACTACAGAAACATCAGACCAAGTGAAATTATTTTTTCTCCCTTTTTTACACTTATCACAGGAAGGGAACAATAACAGGAGTAACAGTTTTTATCCACCTAATTTTAGCAGTAAAATGCTCTTCTTTACATAGGCTCAATTAAAAGAATAACACTGGTATGCTGCCTCTTGTGATGCATTGCAAAATTTCACTTTTAGTGAAAATTTGCACAACCAAGTACATGGTATATGGTATACCTCTGCTAGGAAGCCTGTGGCTTGTACAGGTCATCCAAGTCAAGGGTGACCTAATATAAATCACTAGTACAGTAGATTTTTTCTTTCAACAAGTCAGCCGTCTCCCACTGAGACCTGGTGACCCAAAAAGAAAGAAAATCCCCAAAAAGAAAATATTTTCATCATCATTCAACACTTTCACCTCACTCACACGTAATACTGTTTTTGCAGAGGTGCCCAGAATACAACAGTTTAGAAGTATATACGTATAAAAAATACACAATACGTATATCCCTCCAAACTGCCAATATCCCAAACCCCTCCTTTAGAGTGCAAGCACTGTACTTCCCATTTCCAGGACTCAAGCCCGGTTATATAAAATAACTGATTTCCCTGAATCCCTTCACTAAATATTACCCTGCTCACAGTACCCTGTGAGCAGGGTACTGTAGTACAAGCTACAAAATATTTAAAATGATACTGTATTAAAATAAGTACAGTACACATTACTTACATCCATTTTTTTTTTCAAAGATGCTGAGCACACCTTCCTGAAAAAGTACAAAAAATACATTTTGTATCATATCCAAGATTTCTGGAATTATTTCTTGTGGTCTGTGAATCATTAAAAAGCTTATGATTAAACCTAGCTTAAAAATTATAAGGAAAAGATTAAGGACTAAGCATCAAAAGGTGCCAGCATAGGACTACAATACAAAAGAGGTCACCAAATGATTACAGATGAAACCTAAGTGCTTTTTCAAATCAAATGGTTATCTCCATTAGTGATTATATAATGAAGATTAATCCCATATGTGTGTGTGTGTACTCACCTAATTGTGGTTGCAGGGGTCGAGACTCAGCTCCTGGCCCTGCCTCTCCACTGATCGCTACTAGGTCCTCTCTCTCTCTCTCTCTCTCTGCTCCCCGAGCTTTATCATACCTCGTCTTAAAGCTATGTATGGTCCCTGCCTCCATTACATCACTTGCTAGACTATTCCACTTCTTGACAACTCTATGACGGAAGAAATACTTCCTAAAATCCCTATGACTCGTCTGAGTCTTCAACTTCTAATTGTGACCCCTTGTTTCTGTGTTCCCTCTCCAGAACATCCTGTCTCTGTCCACCTTATCTATTCCAAGCAGTATTTTGTATGCATCCATCCTCTACACAACCTGGCTATGAATTTAGTCAAAATTTAAACCAAAAGTAGTACAAAAAAGAAAATTCTTGTAAAAGTAAAATCCTGAACAATTATTTACATAAAAAAAAATAAAAAAACAAAAAAAAAAAGAAAGTGTTGGTTTGGTAACAGTGACTGAGGGGTTAGATAAACTGCCGAGCAATTTAAGTGCAGCAAATTCTGTACTCTGGAGCATTTTAAAAATAGGTTGGATACACAAATGGGTGGCTAACTCTCCGGGGTTAAAAATCCAAAAATCTTATTTTGGGCCTGCTGCAGCGATCTTTTCATTCTTTCATTCCTACAGTGGTATCCCGAGTTTCAGCCATAATTTGTTCCAGAAGGCTGTTTGAGTGCCGTCACCGAATGAATTTGTTCCCATAGGGAATAATGTAAATTAGATTAGTCTGTTTCAGACCCCCAAAAATACACTTACAAAAGCACTTACATAACTGTTCGAGTTGGGAACTGTACGAAACTCAGGGTACCACTGTACTTCTATAATGCAATGGAACTAGCCGATAACAACTCTAGTTGTGGGTGCTAGGTAATGGAAGTCTTCTTGCTCATACATAACATCAGCATTAAATTCAACATGTTGACAACCATCAAAACTAGCTAACATGTCTCTCCTGATGAAAATAAGTCAGTCTGGCTTTTTTTTTTTTTTTTTTTGAGGGGGGGGGGTTACCATAGGTAATTTACACTATGTATGATAAATGTACTTATGTGTACCTGTGCCTAAATGACCTTACTTACTTGCTACACATTTCTAGTCAAATTTACTAATATTCAGTATTGAAAGACAGTCCCTTGTAAAACTCACAAAAGTTAGTAAGTTTATTCAGGTTAACACAAATACATAATCATACATAGCAGTATATGTGTAAAGTTTGCTGCTGTAATGTAGATTACACACGACTTAATTTATTAGAAACAAAATTTTCAACACAGGTTTCAGAAGTGTTAAGTTTATTTAGGCACAGATACACAAAATTATAATTATCATACATAGTGTAAATTACCATTACATGTATTACATAAGGTACAAGATATTGACAAATGTATACATTACTGTTCATTTATTATTAATCAATGTATGCGATAAACACGAAAGGGTCGCGTTTATAAACTATTGGTGGATTTTCCTAAATAAAAACTTCCTTGTATAGACCCCAATGGGTTATCCTAGGTAATTTACATATGTTAGTGTGCAAGACAACTGTACTCAATCTATAATTGTGTACATCAATTTAATTATTATTATAATCAAGGGAGAAGCGCTAAACCCGTAAAATTGTACAGCGGTGTTGGGGGGGGGGGATGTAGAAGGTATTCAGGCTTAATTCAGGTAACTGGAGCAGAGATCCAACCCCCTTAGATCAAGAGCCCCTCACCAGTATCAAGAAACCACCCTTGAGAGACAATTTACTTGTAACTTGTGTCGAGCTCTGGGAAGAAGCAATAACAGGAACACATACTTGTACCAATGGGTAGACAGTTACAAATGTCTGTCTGTGAAGTATGAGTCGTGTATGGAGACTTGTGGATGACTGTGATGGTGGTAGAACATGAGACCACAACGTTAATGCACCATAATCACCTTTATCCTACGTATGGTGGAACTGTTCTCAACCTGACTGTTGTTTGCGTCTCCCTGACGACCTTCGCAACCTCTCACTGACCCTGGCTTCAGCTTCTACGCAATGGTATATAGCAGCAATAGCGCAATAGTTTTCATATGCGAGAACTTGGATTATCTTTAGGAAAATACAAAGCATCGTATTAAAACGTTGGTAAATCGGTGTTTTAATCTTGTTTTTCTGAACAAATTGAGGTTGACTCATCTGGACACAGGAGGCCTTGCCAGCGGGAAATTTGAATACACGGATGAAACATGGCGGGAGAAATGCATACTCTGCTATTCTATTTATTAATGCATTTTTCCAGTTGTCAATGCATTTCCAAACTATATTCACTCATGGCTCAATAAGAAACAAATGGAAATAAGTTACGTTGCTTGAATTATCTTACGTACTTCTGCATTTACTATATGAACTAATAGTTTATACTATTATTATAATCAAAAAGAAGCGCTAAGCCACAAGGGCTATACAGCTAATAGTTTATAATTATGTGGTTAACCTAAAGAGGAAGATAAAATAGCTGTTAACCTTAAATATATACTGATCATGGTTGCCAAACAATGTGTTTTGTCTAATTCAGAAAATTAAAAACTAGGATTTCATACTTCGAACTGAAAGGGGTTTCACAAACTACAGAATCTAAATTTGGTCCAATAGAAGGCTGCTTGTAGAAAGTTTGTAGCTCCCAACAACAACGTATGGCCTGCAAAGAACCAGGGGAGACATGATAACAATATACAAAATACTTAGAGGAATTGATAGGGAAGATGATTACAGGCTGTTTGAGAGGTGGGAAACAGATACTCAAGGGAACAACTGGAAGATAGACACAGATGTATCACTGGAATGTCAGGAAGTAATTATTCAGTTTCAAGGTGGTTGGGAAGTGGAATGACTTCAGTGAAGGAGTGGAAGCATACTCCATATATAGTTTTAAGAATAGGTACGATAGAACCCATGAGCCTAGGAGAGTGAATCTGGCAAGCAGCAAGTTGAAAGGTGGGGGGACAGGAGCTAAGACTCAACCTCTGCAACCACATATAGGAGAGTACAGGTTTGATTTGCAGGCAAGACCAAACATGTCATGGCTTCTTATAACTGCTCTGTTATAAAGGTACAAAATTAAAACTTAGAACACCAACTTAATTCGTTTCACCCACTGGGGGCTTTAAAATAAATCTCCCAATATACAGCAGGCATGCATATATATAACATATTTTTTTAGCACACTGGCCATCTCCCACCAAGGTAGGGTGACCCAAAAAAGAAACACTTTCACAGTCATTCACACTATTGCTGTCTTGTAAGAGGAGTGCAGATACAACAGTTCAGATATCCCACCAAACAGCAAATATCCCAACCTCTCCATTAGAGTGTAGGCACTGTACTTCCTATCTCCACCCTTCCCTGTCCACACTGCCAGAGAACGTTTCGTGCGCGGATTGGCCTGACAAGTCATCTGCGTACCCACCAACTTCGACCCCAGGATGACTAGATGGTCCTCGTCGAATCGACGGACAAACATGATGATCTCCAGCTAACTGGTTTCCCTGAATCCATTCAAAAATGTTATCCTACTCACACTCCAACAGCTCATCTGGTCCCAAAACATTCCCCCCCACACACATGCACACATTTGTTAGAATGCAATGAACATTTGTCAACATTGAGAGAAAAAACATGTTGACAAACAATATAACATATAATAGCAATTTATTTGTTGTACAATTTCAAAAAGCGTGCCAGCGTGCCCCGTTGTGCTCCGGGTTTTCTCGTGTTTTCACGGTCGCTCTTACGTGCTAGAACTTGAATTTGTGTCATCAATCTTATACGATACATCCCTCTAGCGCCTGGAACCAATCTTGGGCGGAAGACATTATATACTGAGTCAAAAACAGGAGAATTAGTGTGCACTACCTAGCAGAGTTTACTGCCAGAGGGGAATAGGCCTAGTGTGCCGTGCGTTAAATAATAATAATAAACCTTTCTTTGTCAGAGGAAAGAAATTCTCCCTGATAATATTGTGTATACATAGTGTATAGTGTATACTACAGTGGCTCCCTAGTATAGATAATAGTATATAGATAATAAAGGCTAAGTGTCATCTGAAAACAGGTGAATTTGTAAATGAAGTGATAAGCCTATAGAGGCAGGTGCCAGAAGTCGCCAGAAACTTACCACACTGGTCAGCTGTTTTAAATCTTCCTGGCCTGCTAGTGTACTCGCATATAATCTAGGGATACCAGTGATTAGCAGAGTACAGTGTTGTAGTAGCAACTAACCAGTATTGTAATAGTACTTAGTGGAGTGGAGTGACTTTCATTAGTTTCTATTTTCTCGAAATACCAGACGTGAATCTCATATAACCTGTAGTTACCAGCGGTCGCAATATACATAACGAGAAGCAAATATTACTACAGAAAAAGCGTCCTTCCTCCAAAATTTCCACCAGTCAACTATAGTGATAATATAGCAATTATTGTGATGGAGACGGAAAAAACCTAGAAAAGCTAGATACAGTGATTGATAAACAAAGGTTGAGGCTCGACCGTTCGTCATTGTACCTAGTTCAGCTATTAAAACTTTGGGGGCCCAGTCCCTGGACCCATTACGTACCTCTGTAATCTGTAAATACCTTTGTAACTTGTCATGATTGTGACCAGACCTACCTGGAGTTCATTACCTTTGTAAATTGTGAGTTCATTACCTTTGTAAATTGTGAGTTCATTACCTTTGTAAATTGTGAGTTCATTACCTTTGTAAATTGTGAGTTCATTACCTTTGTAAATTGTGAGTTCATTACTTTTGTAAATTGTGAGTTCATTACCTCTGTAACTTGCTCAGCTATCAAAACTTTGGAGTCCAGTCCCTGGACCAATTATGTACCTCTGTAATCTTTTGACTACCGCCCACAGGATGGATATGGGGTGCATAATAAACATATTAAACTAACGTCATTGTAGGAGCTGCCAGCAATCACTGGTTCTTCAACACGCAAGTTATACTTTCTGTATTAATCAAATCACATATTACTCGGGTAGATAACTTCCAGTAGATCCTTCATGTGTTAGCCCAAATCACCGACCAGTATGTTTTAAATAAGTGACCCACTGATCAGATCAGACTGGTTCCGAACCCTTGACTGGTCCGAACCCTCGACCGATTTCAAACGGATTCGTTGGACAAAAAGCAGACTGTAAACGGATGGGGTTGTAGGCGCCCTTATAAATACAAACAATAAATATAAAAGGAGCGTACTCCGGTAAGCTGTCCAATATACAAGTACAGTTAGAAATAGAAATACAAATAGCTAGAGCTTCATTTAAGGAGGTTATTAATAGAGTATTCAAGAGGTTGCTAGTAGGATTACAGTAAATCAACCATTCAAATCATTATGAAGCTCTGTGTAGTCTGCAATTAATCAAACAAACGAGCTTCCACATGGATACCCCTCAAGGAAGGTTCCTTGATGTTGGTGAGGGGCTCTTGATTTAGGGAATTGGATCTGTGCTCCAGTTCCCCGAATTAAGCCTGAATGCCTTCCACATCCCCCCACCCAGGCGCTGTATAATCCTCCGGGTTTAGCGCTTCCCCTTGATTATAATAATAATAATAATCCACATGGATAAATTGTCATTTTTGTGGAAATTGGTGTCATGCCCCTTGTGCAAATATCCAAGAACTAGCTACGAGAAGTATTAAAACAGGGAAGTGTTTCTGGGTATGTCCAAATGAGATAAATCTGTGGACTAATATCACATTTGTATTAAAAGAGGATAACATCAAAGCTGCTTTCATAGAAAATCTGGAAGCTTTCTACAACAGATGGGAACATAAAAAGTTTGGGCTGGATGGTACTGCCCTTGATGCTGGTCATGTAGACAGAAACTGTAAGGCTGGAGGTGATGTCCTGGTAGTCAGTAAATGTGGGGCTGATAGTGCTGTCCTGGGAGACAGTAATGGTGAAGCTGGAGGTGCTGTCCTGGGAGACTAATGGTGAAGCTGGAGGTGCTGTCCTGGGAGACTAATGGTGAAGCTGGAGATTTTGTCCAGGTAGTCTGGAATTGTATGCAGGATGGAATGCACATAAATGACCTCATGGGAGACAGGAGCCATAGTGGGGAAACAAGTGTAGTCAAAGATAAGATAAAACCAATATTGCAAACTAGAAATACCACAGGAAATAGCAAACAAGAGGACTCCACTAGCAATAGTGAGGATATATTACCAAAAACAACTGGTGGGAGCTCCATTGTTGGTGCCAGGGAGGATAGGAATAAGACAGGGAAACATGCACCAACAGGGAATACAATCACAGAAGCCCAAGGCAAACGGAAACCAAGCCTGTGCACATACTATGCACTTGGTATCTGCAGACATGGGAAATCTGGAAAAACAGACGGGACGTGCAACTATGACCACCCTAGAAAATGCCGTGCCCATATGACAACAGGAAAATTCAAACTCCCTTCCTGTAAGCTTTTTCACCCTGAAGTGTGTCCCTCTTCAGTACAGGAAAGACTGTGCTATAACTTAAATTGCCAGGCACACCATCTAAAGGGGACAAAAAGATACAAAACATCCAGGCCATGGGAAAACCTGGGTAGCCACAGCCACTCAAGAGGGAGAGGTTTTTTAGTGCCAGGAAGAAAAAAAAACTGGCAGGAAATGGCAGAAATCATACACCAAATCCAGTCATTCCTGGAGTGGAACCACAGTCGATGGCCTCCACTCCAAACCAACAGATACAGATACTAATGCCGGAACCCCCCCCCCCCCGTACCAACAATACCACCAGTCCGATGACATTCTTCTTTGCAAATATATAGGGTCTAAAGCCAGCAACAAACAACAAAATACCTTTCATCCGTGGACTGCTTGCAGAGGCAAAGGCAATGTTCACGGCTTTCACTGAGACCCACATAAAGGATCACTTGGACAACAAAATATGGATCCCAGGTTACAACCTTTACAGATGCGACAGAGTGAACAGGCAAAAGGGGGG